GTTGCAATGATGTGAGATCCCATATGAAATACATGCAAATAAAAAACTAAGTGGTTTAGCTAGGATAGGAAATCACATAAAAAATGATACTAATAGCTCAAGGGAAGATGAAACTACTTAAAACCTATGGCAAATTTGTGTTTCATTTTGTAAGGTTTAAGATTATTAATTTCTGAAAACTGGAAAACTGAAGCAGAAAACCTACTGTACTATCACAACCTAAACGAACAATCTAAGACTTGAATATTTATGCAGTGAACTCGTCTGAGAACCCCGAAGCCTAGTGCTTTATTTATGCACTATAATGAACAGCGTACTTCAGTAGAGAAAATCACTGGGAATATACACCAATAGAATTAGGGTATCTTTGATCAGCTGGTCAATGACATGAGATCTGAAATCACTATGTTACAGTTCAAGTTGGCACATCTCTAATCCATTTATAAAAAGACTACAGCAAAATGAAAACGAGTAAAATAGAGACGATAAAAAGCGATTGAAATTTATGTGAAGTCACCAGAGAGTACGGGGAGGTCAAACAATTGAAGAATTATGAAATGACCAATAAAATAATAATGTGAAACCAGTTGCACCAGAGGTCGATAGGGAGTCACGTCATCTGGCGTTCTAAACCACTGATTTTGCTTTCTACGCGAACCCCAACAGAGAAATCTTCATTCCCCTACATGACACAGGTCAATAATTAGAGATCATATGAACTGATACTATAAATTATTCTAGTTACCTCTAATCATTTTGCAACCCAAATCTGCTTAAGCCAACATTGCACGTGAATAGACATGTGTAACATATGCTCCAGACATTTGGACCGAGAAAAATTCACGACGTCATCAACTGAATGACTTAACAGTCTAACCTCGACTTTTACGTCAACAGTGTTTTGTTTCCACAGTATAAGGCCTATACTGAGGTGTCAGCAGCAGTTGAAAACCTGGGGTCTTCTTTTGTCCTTCCATTTAATGATCATGTTTCACAGCTACATAGTAAAACATAGTGAACAACTGCACAGTACTTTCAGGGCTTAGTAGATAATCGAATACCATGCTGACAGCATAGATTTCGTAATTTAAGACTGGTATATTCTACACTGCTATGGTTTTGCATACATCTGTGCTACTTAGAAGCGTAAGTACTTCGGCTATAATAGGTCAAACTGGTACTTTTAGCCAATATCTTAATGAACTGTTAGTGGTATTTCAATGTAAAGAACATATAAATGGGTAAGTTAGAGATGGCTACAAAGTCTGATAGTCGTATGTGTTTCGTATCAAGAACCATATTTCTAGACATATTTTAAATTCAGTCGTTAACTAATTACCATTACTTGTCCAAGAATGCATTTTTCGATAAAATCTTAGTTCTAATGTTCATAGCTAATTATGAAATGGTGGAGAATATTTATACCTTAGGTGGACGGTCTTGGTTGTATTGTGTTCTCTGAGCTGGGTTGTTTATATTTATGTTTATGGCTAATTTGTTTAGCTCCAGTGCTTACTAAGTCATAAAAAAACTATCCAAGAAATCTAGTCTGGATTCCAAATGAGGCTAAGATTATGCGATCAAATGAAGCAGAAAAGGCGAGGTGACCTAGTCAAAGATATAGTGGTAAGTTATAATTCCTTCGCTTTTAACCTTTCCCCAGTCTGCTTCTACTCCATTATATATAACCAGCTAGAGCATCTGCAAAGCGGGGATATATGACAAATAATATGGCCACCTCATTCGTTAAATGTTCATAATCTCATCAACTGATTCTTGTAGGAAAGATTCTATACTAAACCTTCCCATCACCTATATGCATAATTTCATCATGCACATGTGATTTTGTTAGTATAACAGAGATCAAAGAATTGTTACCTTTGTACATCCTACATCTTCAGTGACCTTGCTTTACAGTCCATAGACCAAGATGATACTAGTAAGATGTATCAGAGAAGTACTCATAAAATACTTGTATTTACTGTTAGGATATCGTTTCTTTCAATTGTATATAGCTCATTTCGATTAGCATTTTAGCTGTCTCTGATACTATTTCTCCTTATATATAAGCTATCAGCTGAATGCAATCAATACAGTGTTCTTCCAGAATACCTAGTATATTCATTGGCACCCTACTAGAAGTCGGTGTTTTAAAAGCAGTAATCAGAGGAGACGGATCTTATGTCCTCCTTCAGTAATGATCAAAGTTCCTAATTTACGTTGACATTTCCGTAAAGGACTAGGCAATAATACACATTTAATGTCTCAGAGTCTAAGATTTCGCTCTACTGTTCAGATCAAAGTAGGCTGACTAGATTTTGATCAGCAGCCTAATAGCTGATATTTGGACGTATGTAACTTACTGAGTCACAGATTACAGCACAACTTATTATATTGTTATTGTTCAGAGGTGTTGAAACTCACCTAGCAATCACTTCATCGTGGACTGCAACTGACATGATCTATTTCTATCAGCGAACATCTGGTGATGCCAACCTTAACATGAGTGGTAAGATGTAAGGTTTGGCAATATCTTTCGAGACAACCTAAAATGAGAGCTTATCTAGCATGCCAGCTAATGAATTTAGGCGGGACAGCTTAGCAATCTATACTTCACTACTGCTCCTGTCAATAATTATCTTGAACACTACCACTAGTAGGTATGAATTGAACTGGCATATTAGACCGAAAAATGTAAGTCCTTATTTTTGATATGTGTATTTATTAGTACTTAAGTTTGCATCAAACAAACATACTTTAAATACTCTCTTGTACAGTTATTTTCTCACGTTTTATGTGCATAGTTTGACTGCCTCTTTTTCTGTGTTAGCTATCACTGCGCACGCAGTTGTACCTTTCGTTTCAGACTATACATAACTCAGTACTTTTTTCGTTGATACACTTCGTCAAAGTATATTTAATCACATTCCATTTTTGCATGAATCAGTTGGCAATCGGAAAAAGATTTAGTTAAATTGCAAAAAATTACATAAGAGTGTTTTTCATTAGATGTTTATTCCCCAAATTATATGAATATGAGATTTATCCAGTTGCTTAGGCAAAATGGCGTACTGCATGAAATAGTTAATTGAACTAATATGACACGTCAAATAACGTCAGACATCTCAAACTGACTGTATTGCAAGCTTATGATACTTGTAGTTGAACCAATAATCGAGGTTGCTACGATCCTCTGAGTAACCACTTCACCAGTCTTGTGACTGTAGTTCCAGACCTGACTACTGAGTTGGTCTCATTTTCATTTAGGCCACTATTGATCATCACGATCAAGATAGGGCCAGGCATTACTGCGTAACGGTTCAAGTTGCCACGCCTCAATAAACTGGAATATACAGAAAAAAAGGGGTCAAAGGAAGTAGAAGTAGAAAGTAGTAAGAAAGAGGAAGGAGGAATGAGATGGTAAGATAAAGTATAGCGATTAAGATGAGGATAATGTGTGTTTACATCTGCGCCTCTGACATCAGTTCTCAGCCATATAACCTAGAGTCTCCAACCACTGGTCTTTCTTGTCCCGCAGATCCCAGTCAGCTAGTCTGCATTGCCCTACATGACTCAAAAGAACAATCAAGGACTTCATGCACTGATGTCATGTTTTAGTTTGGCCACCTGAGCATTTTTCCAGTCTGAACCTACTTCAGCCAACATTGAATGATCAGATAAATGGTATCTAGGTATGCGTAACACACATCCCGGCCATCTCAGTCTATGAAGCTTCATAACCCCCTCAACCATCTTACCTCTCCTACCTAAAACTCTATATGTAACTTCTGCTTTACTGACGTGGTGACACCATAAAACATGGTCTATGCTATGTAGGCAGCAATGGTAAAACACCTGAAGCCCTTTCATATCTTCTACCTTTAATACTCATGCTTCACAGCCTTACAGTGAAATAGAGCGGAGTGCTGTACACTACACCCGATCTTTAATAGACAGTCGGATATCGCGGCCGCTCCATAAATGGCGTTAGTTGGCAAAAGCTAACCGAGCCTCTTCTATCCGTGCTAAGTCACTATTGTTATTCCCTGAAACATAATTGGGCGTTCGTAACCTTTAGAAGGTCTTCAGGTTCGAAATGAAGTTATGTTATAGTCGAGCGAAAATCTGGATTATTTGAGGGGAAAATGAAAACTAGTGATAGTTGATTCTCATAGTTCAGTTGGTTAAACTTTGGGTCAACAATCCGGTGCTCAACTATTTGAATTTCACCATAAATACCCTCTTCATTGTATCAAAAAGCAGTGTACTTTTATTCGTCCAGTTTGTGCTTTACTTCATTTGAGCTTTCTTGTAATCACGTGGCTCTTGTGTAGTTGTTTTTAAATCCTTTTTTAAAGATTTACTTGAAATTAGTGTCTGCAGTTTACTCTCAAGACGGACCAAGTGAATGTCCTGTTGAGGAGAACAGCTAGGAGACAATTTAAAGTTCGGTACTATACTGTTTAGCAACTAGCTTCGGTATGCAATCAGAATTTCTGACAATTTTATCAGAATTCCTGAAGGCCTTATCGTAATGCATAGTGGTTGCGTGGTGATAGCTTAGTGGTACTTAGCAAACCTGGAGACTGTAAACAGCTTAATATGAGGGTTATCTAGAGATTTTAGCTTTTGAATATGCATGATCTAAAATACATTATTTTATTAATCAACTTTAGGCTACGGAAATGATCTATCCTGAAATAAACTCGATATTTGCTATATCTTATTTGGTCACAACCAGCAACGTTTATTGCCGATTGGCTGATGGTCAGAAATCGCTGAGAGATATTTCTGTATCGATTAATAGTGTTACACGTTTCCTAGGTATTCAGTTGTAGACTGCTGACACTCAAATTTACAGCTTCTTGGGTTTGGGTTGTGACAATCCACACAAAGAGCTTGTAAACTAGGTGATTCAATCTATAAAATTCATTTCCCTTACAAAATAGAAATCCAAGCAGACATTGAAACATTAAAGTCAAAAGCCGTTAAATACCTACCTTTTTCACATCGTAACCATTATCTGTAAACCATCGATTCAGTGTTGTTATACGACGTTTTGTCCCACCTTCTTCGTTGTCTCGGATATAACTTTCACTATGCTTTTGTACAGCATAATTAGTTAAGTGCATATACATATCATGTACATTACGATGATTTGGCTCAGCATATGAACATGTGGTAAAACGTACTAAACCATCTTTAAATACAAATAAACGCAGTGGATCACATGATGTGAGTAGAACATAAATTCTCATATCAAATTTGTATCCATCAATAAGAAACGGCTAGAAGGGGGGAATGAAACATTTTGAAAAATAACATATAATGATGAAGTTGTCTGGTTGAAAATTATCATTCCTCCTCAACTGCTTAAATATTTAAGGGTAGATTTAGCTTAAAAAATGTCTAGTTATAACAAAATACAGTTTAGCACAACCGTTTAGAGATGCAACATGCTGACAATCGTCAACAGTTTATTTGATCGAGACCAAAGGGAAGAAATATATAATATTTTTAAACATCGCACAAGGATGTGGAAAAGATAAGAAATGAATGCATGCAGATTGAAAGAAAACTCAAAATAAGGTGAAGGTACATGTACATTACTTGAACTACCACTGTATCCAGGACTTCAGTTATGAAGTTTCCAAAAACTGTTGCATTAACTTGGTTTGATATGAATCCTCATATAATTCCTAATTCGAAGCTAGCATCTAATATCAGAATAATCAGAAGATAAATATACCTACCGTGCATTTCTAATCAAGTATATCGATACGCATTCACAGCTCCGTGAAACCATCTATCTAAATTACTTTAACTCCTGTCTTTTTTGTTTAACGTAGCAATAAAAATTTACAAAAGGTGCAGATATGAGAGAACTTTGTCTAAACGATTTTATTAGTTTCTTATAGTCAAAGCGTAGAACGGTATGGAATTTTACAGGTTACAGTTGTTAGTTGGACCACATTTGAGTATTTTACAGGATAAACAGACAGTCATATAGAGAAAGCAAAGTGGGACCTAGGATAGAAGTGAATCTGTTCAACTTGCCTCAATTTAGGAGAGTAACAGGATCGAAAAGTGATATCAAAGGAAACAGGTGTAATTGGGGAGGAAGATAGCATATGTACGTGAAGGTCAACGAAAATACTGTGAGCTTCAAATATGACAGAGTGCATATGTTTGGATGTTTGTAGCTGAATTTCAGACACAAGATTCTTGTCTCGAGAACTTTATCTAAACAGTTCGTATCTTCCCACATGGCTCATACCACCAGTCAGAGACTTCATAAACTACTGCCACTTATTAGTGTGACTATCTTCAGCTTTCTTTCAACTAAATCCTACTTTTGATAACTACGTTAAGCGTTACCTCGGGATGTGTAACATTAGTTCAAGCCAAGCGAGTTGGTGAACTTTCACAGCCTCATCGACGGACTTGCTGTCTCTAACTAGTCTCCTCGACTTACCTTGGCATTGCTTGCATGATGATTCTATAATACACTAGAAACGTTAATAAGGCAGCTGTGATTGAAAAACTGTAAAATCTTGATATAATCTACTTTAAATGTCCATATTTCACAACCATGCTTATGCCAAAATTGAGTTTCATTTTTCTCTTGTCATATCTAAGCGTCCTAACGTAGAACGCGTTCCAATTCTGCTGCTTATTCATGTTACTTAATCCATGTTTTAGTGTCTTACTGGACTTTATTTATATTAAGATCGAGTTACACGGACGAATGTTATTTATGTTAAGAAAATTATCGAATTATTTCATAGAACCTATCTCTAATTTCCTTATATTACGCTATATCACATTTAAAAGTTGCAGTCGAAATTTTTAGGTTATCACAATAGTACAGAAATAAATGGTTTTGGCAATCAGGAGTTGAATTGACCTATGTTAGGATGAATAAAAGTCCCGTTATCATTTAGTTTAAATTTCACCAACAGCGTCGTCCTGGATGGACGAAGGTCATAGTTTTCAGCCATCAGTTGTCTGGAACTAGGCATCTTTGGTACATTTTAGAAGCTTCTTGAATTCAGTTTGAATTCTGTTTTGGTAACATACTTAATCACTAAGTTGATAAGGTGATAGCGTGTAGTCCATTTTCATTGCTAATCTTGAACTGGAAAAGCTCAAATATGCAGCCAATGAAACATTCTATTGTAGATTCGTCGACGATAGGTTCATTTTGCGTAAGAATTTATCCCAAGAATCACATCTGTTTGGAATCTTTAGTAGCGTATCTAGAAATATTATCTCCACAAGAAAACATGAAGACAGTGGTAAATTCAACTTTATGGACTTTTCACTTCAACGTAGAACTTATTGTACACCTCAAAGATCAATCCACAGCAAAGATACACGGAACGTCCTTTACCTTAATTTTAACAGTTTCTGTACAGTCAACTAAAAACGAGCATTGTTTAGGGTAGCGTTCTTCAGAGTACGGAGAATATGCTGATCGGTTAAACTTGAAGAGGGATTATCGCTTCTTGAGAAGTATTTTAAAGAAAACTGATACCCACAAAGCTTTGTCAACATATATAAAAGAGGAGGATGCAGTAAAATTTAGAAAATAACAGTCATTTGGAAGCCGTTTTTCGTTCACCTTGACTTCATAGGTTATGATACAGTGACTATGCACTGCACTGGCCAGAACATATCCTGTAGCAAAGTTAGTTCCTCTGCTCCATACTCCTTGGTTGCTGATACAATCAAAAATCAACAGGTAACCTTTGTGTGTTACTTCCAGTTGTGTGAATTCATTTACCTGTCTGTCTGGACTAAGGGAACAGGAAGAAGGGCTTACTTTCGATATTTTAAACACATCTTGAAGAGTCTACGATTGAGGGGAGCATGCATTTTCAATAGTGCAATTACTAAGAACTTAGTGGATGTCGGACATCAGCCTGATGCCTCGAGATTATTCAAAGTTAACAGGAAATCTTTTTCGCTTTGTTGAAGCCGTTGGAATCAAACGTCTTAAACCAGATATATATGTTCAAGAGGAATCTGTCATCAATCTTCATTTACCCTGGTAACCTAATTTCTTGACCTTCCACTTATTTGATTACATTGTTATTCTGTCATCAGATTTTGAGTTAACTATGAAGCCTACTCTTAATCTACTCAGTTCTACTCATTATGTTTTATTACATCTTCCTTTCTGATGATTACTAACTTATATATTCATTGATTTACGTGGTTTCTGGTCCGTAATAACACAGTATTCGTTTTTCTGCCTCAGTTTGACGTTTACGAGAACTTCTGTTCTTATAAGATATCCGTTTGTGGAATCAATGAATGACATTCTGACTTTATTTCAATTCGCATAGTAGCAATACTTCGCTCTATCGTTGTCCCGTTCTAATTGAACCCACTGAACTGATGTGTGTTAATGTTTTATTGTAAATATTCTAGATTGCAAGCAGTTGACAAGAACTGCGGAAATAATAAAATGAACTCATGATGGTGGTTCAGTGTTCTTTGAGCTTTGTTATTTTGTTGCGGAAGTCTCACCACCAGGCTTGGTGATGATGTAGTCCAATGACCATTCAATATCATCGACGGTGATCCACTTCTCTAGTGGTTTGTTTGATCAACCAGGTATGGCTTTTCAGTAGAACTTCAGGAAATCCGTCTGAAGGCAAGTCAAACCTGATCCCTGTCATCTTCTTACGTGCGTTCTGTTAAGTAGTCTCAAACTAGAAAGAAACAACCATACTGTGTCTCCAAGTTTTGGATGGTTCTGCAGCTGACATCAGTTCATGATGAAAACTAATTGAATGGAATTGTTGCTTTACTGGTTAATATGTTTAAAGGGTAAGTGTTATTTGTAGCCAGTGAATGTCGTGTGGTCTACGCTTCATACCATAAGTTAAACGGCAGGTATCCTGCTGCTTTGTTAAGGTGATATCAGGAATCCTGGTGAAAAGGTATAACGTATGGAAGTTAGGTTGGATTTCATAGAAGATGGTTACTGGTAACCCCAAGAGAATGTTGCGAAATAGAGTAAAGTACCATAAGTGGAAAAGATTATTGATTACTAGAGTGTTTCCACAAATCTCACCAGTAATGCAGACAGTAAGAATGATGTTGAACCATCGATTTCTTGTAGTTTATAATCCCTGGATACGATCTTCTAACAAGTCGCATATAAACAGTACTGAAGATTCTTAGGGTGAAATAAAGAGTCTCTCCAATTCTTCATGGTTCGTGTTGGTATTTGGAACCAACAATACCTCTTGGCTTATTCATTCTTTACTATTATTGAGCCAAGAAAGTTTCAGCATTTTGATTTCCACTGGAGTGAAAAAACTTCCTCATTTTAAAAATAAACTAGTTACTTTAAGACCACTTATATGTTTAAGAAGTTCTATACAATTGTTTTACCTTTTTTTTACCATCCTACGAGATCAGAAACTTTTGTTAGGTGATCAGAAGTCATGAATATCCAAATCTCTTATGTGTTTGTCTGTTTGCACACAATATATATAAGCCGCAGTTATTTCTCCCATCAATAAAAAAGAAAATAGTGACCTTACAACTATTGTTATGAATAGAAATCAAAACGAATAGCACTAAAGTGCTTTTTGTACTTACCTTCGATATATACACTTGACAAATCATATTTTCCATTGGTCGGATATCTTTAGCATTTCTAGTGATATAAATACCTCGACCTTGACATCCGTTATCCGGTTTTAAAATGTACGTTCTACTCTTATGCTTTCTAGCATAATTTTGTATATCATTCCAGCTGAAGATTAAGCAGACATTTGAGAAAAAAATGTATGAAATGTGGATATTTTCACATATATTTTTCCTTTGATTCTCCTTACATTTTTAATACTTCCAGATAAATAGACGAGGCTTATATGACAAATTACACAACTGAAGTATCCGGTAGTCTAATTTCAATTTCATCTTAAACAAAAGCTTAACAATGGCGCTTTCATCTTCTACATTGAACAACTCTCTTTTGAGTATCCGAGTGAACATGGAATTTACACAGACTGATGATGAGTCCTAGTAAAGACAAAACCTAAAATATATGTTGTAACAAACAGAATTTAACATGGTATTGCATCGCCTAGATTATATAACATGCCTCCATCAAAGCCTACATCATGGTCATTTTACTGGTAACCATTATCTATCAATATTTGTTTAATTAAACGAAATTCAGATTCAAAAATTTCACTTGATAGTCCCAAATCATCCGATACGGATTGTGTTATATCATTATTTGAAATAATTTAACCCAATGGTTAGAATGCATGGTACCAAGATGAATTAAAATGCCTGGAAATGTCATCTAAAATAATCACGTTTCTTTTAAGTAAAACTAAATTTTTGCTTCAACAATGGTAATTAATTGACTATAATCTTAAAAATGCATTAATTAACATCATTAGTGATTCGAAATTAAGAGGGATTATGGATATCATATTGTTGCTAAAGTGGCTTTTGGATTTATTTTTGTATTTCAATTGTTACTGAAGCTAACCATATACATGTAGTCACTGCTTAACAAATAAGTCTGCTGTTTATAAAAGTTCTACAGCTTAAAATCGTGTACTCTTACCCCTTATTGTATCAGACAGAAGTATAATGCAGTATTCATTCTACTTTCATCGAACGATAGTCATATGTATATATTCGGAAATTAACTATTAATTTCTTTAGTTGATACCTGCAATTTTCCTTTGTTATGTTGGGCCGAGTTGATCGACCACTGGCGGCTGATGGACTTCTATACATATGAGAATATTTATGGTGTTGTATTCATCGTATTGACCAGTAGTGGAATCTAGTATGTCCATTTCGTGTTATTTGGGACTCGTCAGTCGGATGTACTTGTATCCTATTGCATGAAGTTATTCCCACAGGGACTCGAACTTGGCACCTATCACCTCAAACACCAAAGTGCAACCCATTTGGCCGCAGAAGTACGATATCCACCCCTTGTAAAACGAGTATCAGTTGTTGTTTAGAGATACTGGGGTCGACTATCAGTGAGAAAAGCATCACTTACCAGGGTACAGGCACGTCCGGCTGATGAGCTCCAGAACTGGACGAAATTTCTTTGGATAATATGGTTACACAAAACCCATTCCATACAAAAATCACAAACTTAAAAACTAAATTCATCAGCCCAAAGTATTACGCTTTCATCTACTGTTTACAAGATGACATCTAGCACTTATAGTTCATTGCCAAGATTGGATTCTTACCAGCGAACTTCAAAGCTAAAGAGTTTGAACTAATAGTAACCTGTCTATGTCACATTACGCAAGCACCTCCAGTCCACGAATTGTTAATATAATAAAAAAGTAAAATCTCTTTAAGCATAGTAGTACAAGATATTCCAAACGTCAACTATTCAATTTCCAAGTTTGCTTTCAAGTTTTTTATGATATCTGGACATATTTATATTCTTTAAAACGAGAAATTACTGAGTACCTTCAACATTTTATACTTCTCGATCTGTTTCAATTTATCACTGGTTGAGAAGACTCACATGACCAAACCTTACAAACTATCCTCGTTATCTGATAGACACTAATTTACTATCTAAACTAAAATTGTTTGACAAACGATCACAGAATCCACAATAGTCTTATAAACAGTACATATTCATATATACTCAGAATGTTGGGATTCGTATGAAATAAAATGAAAGTATTGCACGTATTATTCACGTAATAAATGGAAATCTAGAACTCAAAGAAAAGCCTAACAATAATGAAAGTAAGAACTTACTCAGAAGGAAGGCACCAAGATTTAGGAAATATATTGTAATCTTTAGGAAATAGTCTTATCATTCGATTTAAATTACGCGCTAAACTGTCTTTACGACAAATTTCTGACATTCCGGGAAGTGATTTATTTTCTGACAGTTTAATCAAAAAAAGCAGAGAAAATTAAAGTTATGAAGACATCTAAGTAGGAGCATAAATAATTCAAAATAATGTTGACAAAAAAAAACAGAACAAAAGGTATGTTAAATTCAAAAACTTAATCAGCATTGTCTATAATGACTATACACTATATCAATGAAAATCTATGCTTCAATCTGTTAGACATCAAAGTGGGAAAGCGGAATTTATTAACTTCATCCAAAGGATAAATAGGAAATTTATATCCAAAATAGTCTGCTTCTTTTTTGCTGCAGATCCGTACATTTTTGTAAAAGGAAAGAACTTGCTTATAAAGTGGTGTAGTAAAGTATTTCATAGTTGCTGAAATGTTCCCGTTAGCGGCTTATGGTTTGCATAGCGCACTGCAGTGAAATATGGGATCCAGAATGCAAGAAATGGCACATAGACTACCATCCTAGAACGTATTAACACCTACAATGTTGTTCATTCCAAAAAATTGGAAAATTTGAATTGTTTTAAAAATTAGTATAAAAGAAATACAGGTAATTAGGAATATTGTGGACTAGTTTAGTCACAAAAAGGTTTTAAACAAACTGTTTTTGAGTAAACAGATATACGAGAAGCACTATGCGCCATGATACTTCACATTTACTCTGTACCAAATATCAGACTAAGGTTACATAATGAAATGGATTTTTTTCCACTTCAGTTATCAAACCAAAAGAGAAGTTAATGACGGGAAAATCAAATAAATGAAAGCATTGAAGACAGCAATCAGTTTACTTAAGTGGTCAATTCCTCCAGTCATTATTTCCATATTTTCAGAAGCGGCGTCGATGCAAACCAACAGTAAGTTGAGAAGTGTATCCTAGACATTCCCAAACTGTTACTCAGCACAAAGAGGAAAATGTGACTTTTTAGCATCTTCACATATCATACTATAATGTATGAATTTTGTTAGTGGATTCAAACCTTCAGTGAGCAACCTAAAGGTCGTTCATTTTAATCATTATACGATTCAGGTTCTTTTTTCAGCTTGAATCAACAATGACTGTTGGAAGCATTTATTATTCTGAAAAGGATCTTTATGGATTTATTTGAACAAACTAGTTGGCACGAAATTAAATTTTTTGTTGTCACACTAAAATCCGTTGTCAAAATAATCCATTCCAAAATTGTTTAAATATTTGTTAAACTTCTATTATCCGGGTTTTTTAATTTAAAAAGACAGAGAAACCAAACACAGTGTCATACTATAACTTCATTTGGCTTATTAATAATTTATACAGAGATTTTTATTCTCACTACCTAATCAAACTGAAATTGGTCACCTTGATATCAAGAATTATATTTGAACATGAGGAGGAAATGAACAACTACATTTCCACTTCCCTTTTGAAAGTGATAAATGATGAGTTCCATATCCACAGTAATTTTCTCCTGTTTTTATAACCATTTAGTCTTTATTTGATGACCACATTTAAGGACTTTTTCTGTCCAAAGAAAGATATCATGTCGATCGAAATAGTTTCCTGTCCTGAACTTTTAAACCTACTGTCATCTGGATATAAAGACAGCTAACAACATTTTTAGTCTCCAAAATGTTTCATTATTTTCACTACTTACTTTGCTTTGTTGCTCAGCAGTATTTATTCATCACTGTCAAACACTACATAATTTTCAAAAAAAAATTGATTGGCAGACTTGAATCTGTCTAGATAAGTTACTGATGTAGTTGACACCTAGTGTACGAAAATAGTCTATAACTTACCAAATTACTTTTTTATAGTTTCATGTATTGATTTTTCTTATATAAAGTGTTGATGGGTATAATTCTTTTCCAATCCCTTTCTTTTTGTCAAAAAATTGTTTGGCTATGTTATTGAGAAGTCAGATGAATAATGATACTTTTATCTAGGTTGGGTTTGCAACAAAACATTTAAGTGGATGGTGAACTACGCATACAATAGCCGAAATTCAACCTAATTTTGTCTAACGCATATCTCTGGCGTCGAAGTCCTTTAGTCTTGATCAATGTATTGCACCATTTGACCAAACAAACTGAATGCAGTTTATAGTTTAATGTAAGAGGTTATATCTAATGAATTAGATAGAATAATTTGCTTCCATATGCAATGTGGTGATGAATAGATAATTAGACATACTTGTAAGTTACCTGTAATACAATTAAGTGTTACATTGTCTTTCATTTCAGAATTCATTAGGAATAAAGTTTTGCAGATAATCAGTCCTGTGTGATCTTATATTCTTGACATTGGCATCTCATGACGAATACAACACTTAAGTTCGCATAGAGCTTTATGGTAATTTTACTACACAATCCAGGTTTAATTGGTTGAATAAGAACATGAAAATACAACATAGTTTTGGTTGTGTTGCGGTTTTCCTGAAGATACTAAAAAGATTACCTAACTTATAAAGTAATATGATTTTCTTAAAACAAGCATTTGTAGGCATGTTTTGCTTTTGCCTTTCATTGCCTGCCTTCCAGCAGGAAGCAGAGAACAGCTATTTCTTATGATATTTACAGATTTTTCAGCGTCAAAAAGTTTTCACCCCGGAAAGTAGCATTTAGTATGATTCATGTACCTAGGTATGTGCTTCATTATTCAAATAACAAGAAGAATCGAGATCCACCCAACAACCTTCTATTTTATTATTTTATATCTTTGTGATGGTTATCTTCGCTTATACTACGAAAGGTGTAACGCACTAAATGATATACTGTTAAGAGATTATGTCACTTATTTGCTGACCATGCGATCTGGAAAGTTTCCAGTAACTAATTAGCCTTCATCCACGGTCTTAGTTATCCACTGAGTCAGTGATTTCCCCACTCTCCCTCAAATCACACAACTGACAAAGATCCTGAAATTCAGATTGCATGAACCACTAAAATTTCAACTGAATTCATTATTGGAATATACTTGGATTAGGATAAATCTTTATTTTATTGCATAGTCAACTGAGATATGGTTTCCCATTAATGTGATATCTGACACGGTGATATAGTATTATTTACTGATCGACTTTGCTGAAACGTTTGTGACTAATACAAACAAAAGGAATGGGAGTTCTAGAGTTATGAAAATGAAGTTTTAGCGTCGTATGGAACACTTGGAGGTATGTACAATAAATTGTAACAGAAAAGTCTCCCACTCAACAATACCACTGTATACTATTTCAAACAAATATTATGATATGAACCTGTAGAGAGTGATTTATAATCTATTTGTAGATTAACAATCTTTTCAGCAGGTTTAAAAAAACTTATCCGATTTTGAGGGACTAATTCATATTCTCACACCATACAGTTAGAATCATTTCATGTAACATATTTGTTTAACTGGGTGCAGCAGTAGAGAATTTATAGTAGTGCATGGGTTGAAAGATAGTAATTAAGGATCAACAAAACGAATAAACTACTAAATAAGCAAAGAGGAAATGAGATAAAAATTCAAACGAAGGTTAGGTGGTTCAACTTGTCACATATAACCAAATAATACAAAAGGAAATAATTAGAAAAGGTAAAAACATATAAGAGTGAGTACAAAGTAGGATGTGAATAGGCAAGTAGTAAACATATATCCTGTGATATGTCAGCGATTTTGAACGAAGGTATATATTAGGTGTAACAATGTCCTTAGGAAGAAGATATACTGCCATCTTGCGTTCTTCTGACATGAAAACTGAACCTATCCACTAGGTTCAAACCTATAGTTATCGAGTTCTTGAACCAGTGTCATTGTCCTCAAAACTTGAGTAATGTATTTTTATCCTTGTAATTATCATATATTTAGATGTTTACTGAAATGATTTGCTGCCTAGTATTAAGACCTCAGCCTAAATGAGCTGTGGTATCATAATATTTTGAAATCATCATCAAGTATTTTTTAAAGTGTTGACGATAAGACTGAATGAATAACGATACATCAGTATGGTGTTTTATCAAACATATGAAAGTGTTTTTGAGCCGAGCACAAAAAGCAATAAGCATGAGTAGTAGTAATTAAATTTAAGCACCAAATCTTTTTTAGCACTTACCTGCCATTGTTTCATAACGAGAACGCGGTCGACAGTAACAGAGTAATCAGTCCAATAAAGACACCAGTCGTCATCCTCTTCAGTTTCTCGGAATCCATATCTTTTCAAAACTCTGCGAACTTAAATGTTTAAAAGTGGAAACAGTTAACCCCTGAATGTTGAGTAATTAGGCTTCTATCTCGTAAAATATATGTTGCACATTGGTATCAACAAATTTTATCTTGTAGGTTTGGCAGTACAATACACCACTGCCTTTGTAAGACATAAAGCTTTATGTAATTTAAAGAAAAAGTTAAAATTATTCCGAATCTTCATAGTGTAAAACGTTTCAACAAGCCATTTATTCAGATAAGTCTAGTTCAAATAGTCACATAAATTAAGGACGACCTTAAGAAATTTATGTTAATCATCTGTGCAACGGAAAGGCAAAGCAACTGTTCAGATTTTAAACCAAACGTATCATATATGACAGATGTAGTTTTTAGGGGTCTAAATATTTCGCGTTTCATGTGCAAATGGGTTTCTAATCTGTGACATTAGTTTCCACGTATCAGGGTTTGTCATAAGAATATTGCGTACAGATGGTAAGCAGTACCCATAAAACAATCCAAGATAGTTGTTTACTCATTTCATGCACTTATGGAATGTTAGTGAACTAGCTATTAAAAAGACTAGGCTTAATCTCATCTGGTCTCTTTGATTTTATCGTTAAAAATAGTCCTTCTTAGGAAAGTGTCCCTGTTGTAACAGCCTCTGAACAATGTTAATAGAAACTATGACTAGCAACATTTTGATGGTTACAGAAAGATAAGTATCAAGTAAACGAACCTTAAATACAGAGAGTTACATTAAACATCTTTCTGACACCACTTATCTCAGAGTTTATCTACCACGGAAATCACGAAGCAAAATGACAACTGAACTTGAACTTTTGCTTCAATTATTGGAAATTCTGGCAACAACTTGTATTTCAGCATCTTTTGTAAATACTGTTCTGCTGAATAAATAGATAAAGGTAGCAAACAAAACTTAAAGCTCATCTTTTTTACTGATCTATCATCATTGATTGCATCTGTCGCTCATAACATATGGACAAATGAAGAATAAGACCTGCTTAGGTTGACAGTGTTGTTAATTCTGCTTTTTAAGGAAGACATGTGATGAAATCTTCAGCTCGTTAGGCACGGTCATTTAACTAGTACCTCCAGCTAGATTACGAGAATTCTGAACAGAGAAATAGGATTCAAAATAACCATCAGTGTAAAGGCTCAGGGTCTGACTCTATCAAATGGCTTATAAATGTGACTGTACGCAGCCAAAAAACTATTTTTCCATCAACTTTTGTCATTGGAGTAAGGAAAGAGAAACCGATAACATTTAAATCTGAGTTAGATTTGATGGGTACAGTACAGGTACAATAAACCTATTATCAGGTATCATTTATTTATAATATCTCAATAATAAGCGAATCTAACTTATTACTGATAGTTTTGTCTAAAACTCATAAAAATATGTAAAATGTTTGTGCAAAAGATTTCAGTCAAACCACCCAAGTCAAAAGTTATATTTATCTTTCTCGGTATATAAGTTGATAATCTAACATCTCAAGAATCATGTTGTGAATAACAAACGCAGACCTGGCCTAAAAAACTCTTCACTTTGTTCTACATGTTTCACTGACAATTTTATGCACTTTGTAATACTCCTTTCCAACTAAATTAACATGCAACGAAACAATATTACTTATTTATCTGTTAGTTCGTCATTTAGTAATTCAAGCAGTAATTATCTCTCAATCGTCATATTCTATATTGGTAGATAAAACTAATATCAAATTATTCCTTACCAGTGTTGAAGTAATATTCCTGAAAGCACTTTCAAGTGGCTTATATTGCTCATTATATAATAAATATAGACGCATTACTATTTGCAGTCATGACTGTATCTGCAGTATAACAATATTATAATAATTTGAGGTCTTTTGTATTCAGATACTAAGGTAACCTGAGAATATGAGTGGTAAGTAAGTAAGATAAAGTTTATTTATCCTCCCTGTCTGGAATGTAGTCAGTCTGAGGGCTATAGACGCTGAAAATTCGTTGAAGTTAGTAATTAAGTCCAATTTCGTATCCGACTCCCTAGCTTACTGTATATGAGATGTTTCTTCCTACGGATTAATTTATAATGGGATAGCGAACAGTGGTTTACATTGTTCACCTTAAGGTAATTTTAGCACAATATCAATCTCCATCAAAGTGTAGGGTGTCGACAGCATATTTAACGGTATTTTGTTTTCATTTCCAGAAAAACCACGGTTGTCCAACAAGCCGAACTACAAAAAACAAAACTAGCTTCCAAGCCTAAAGTAAGTGATATCTCGATAAATTATTTGCCACATTTAAATAGTAGTTTTTCATAATGCTACTTTTTCGTTAACTTTTCACCAAAATCAAAGGTTATGTGTTTATTTAGGACCAAAACTAAAGGAACGTGATATTACAAATCTAACACGTAAAACATTTAAACTATAACAGTGAATTTGCGTAGTTTTTTTCCATCTTTTATTCCACTGAAAACAACTAGCTGTCATCAATATAGGTGTAAAACTTGGGCACTGTTGTAGAATTTAATTTCATATTAGATTTGTTTATTTGATCTATAACACACAGTGATCTGGTATTATTTACTTCATGACTTTTCGAGCATAAATTATTCCTCATGATCATATATGAAACATAGGATGAAGGCTAACACTTGATAAATACAAAACCTCAAACAGAAACATGAGATGCTGTCTGAAGACGAGCCTGAGTTTGTGTTCGCGTAATTCATAATGTAAACAGCCGCATTATATACCTATATGTTTTAGATCAGAACTTTTCACTGCAAAATTCGGTGTATTTATACATACATTTAATTATCAACTAGGCGGCAATTACGACTAGATGTCTCGACGTCGTGGCATAGTTCTGCTACTCTTAGTGACTAAGAGTATGTGTTATCATGACAATTTAATGCAATGAAAATATGTATGACTCCAAAATAGCTAGTACAATACGAAATACTTAAAAATTACCCGATTCATACTTGCAGTTGGAAAGGTTTACCGTAAGCTGCCTGGATAAAATATTGATCTAGTTCTAAATAACAAGAAACCATACCGTTTTTTCTTTCGTTTCTTCGAAACTTGACCTCCAACTTTTGTTGACGACTCACCTATGGTTTCGGACTTTGTGTTTACTACACCTGGTAAAGTTTATTTATGGGAATATGGGAACAGACAAGTTGGTTTCAAGGTAACTGAGTGTCCACTGTTTGTACTGATATCACTATCACTTTTTTCCCCCACATTTTCTGCGGGAAGTATGAGTATGTTTTCTTCATCATCTAATCCAAACAGAGGTTGAATAGCCTGAGATTTCTTCTCGCATTCAACATAAACATCATCTTCAGAGTCATCCTCTCCATCTGTAGATGAATTCGCACATGACTTCTCAAACTCAATTTTTTTTATACAGCATAATTCCGGAACATCTCCACTACAATTCTATTCAACAAATAATGAAAAGATTATGATTTTCGTGTCTACAAGCAAATTATCATCCATCAACCTTTAGAGAAGGCTTCTGATATTTTCCAGCACACTATAAGAATGGAAAAGCACCATAACAATGACTTCACGTTAAAATATTAACATGTATCAAATTCATAACGAGCAATGCCTCAGCTGACCTTAGCAACACCTATTTTAACAAGAATTCAACTTAACATTTTCAAACTTCTTCTTAGTGACAGTTGAGACTTTTTAAAACCATTTTCGGACGAATTCAGTATAAGGTAACCAGCAGCAAAGGTATTAGTAAAGGAAAATGACGGTTTTTAACTCCAACATTAAAAGTCAGTAGTGTGAGTGGAGTAAAGTAATATTTTTTGAACTCTCACGTCTACGTCTTGAGGATTGGTTCCGTTCGCTCCATTATGCACGTTCAGTGGTCGCTTTGCTCTCTTTCGCCTACTTGCTTATAGTATTGGCCGTGGTGATTGTCTAACCCAATATCCAGTATCTTTCTACGAGCTAGTGTAAACCGATTGATTTCTTTGCGCTCGCTTATAAATCTTCGGTGGATTCCGATGCAGTAGGTCTGCCCACTAGACTACCGTAATTCTGTTTAGCCTGACGGACGGTTTGTTGTTTGTTAAATGTGCATGGAGTGTGTGCCTTTTTTTCCAAGGACTGTGAGGCAGATGGGTTCCTCAAATGTCATACCAGCAGGCAATTGGTCGGACTGGTTGTAAAAAGAAGATGGAAAATTTTTCCAGAAAGTGAGAAGAAAAAGAAACAAGAGGGAGAAACAGCGATTGGGGGAACCCCGGAAAGGATCGGAAGAAACCGGCAGATTCAGGGGAGGGGAGGGTATGGAAAGCTTTCACAAAAGTGTGAGAACGCAGACTCAGTAGGAAGAGAAGAAGTAAATAACATTATAGGACGGCTTATGGGAATAGAGATAGTAATTCTATTGGTAGGGGACGGTAACTGAATGAGACGTCCACGGGGAGATGCAAGGTCGGGCCAAGTTCTCAATGATAGTAGTGTTACAAAGTATTCGGTAATGGGTTGACCTACTGAGTTAGTAGGTCGTATCAGTCCACTCCATATCTCAGCTAGATGAGCACAAGCCGTGCGTCACTGTCCAACCTCTTCTTGAAGCTGTCAACAGACGTAGCAGCCTCGGCAGGCAATGCGTCCCAGTAGCCGGAAACTCGCAGAGAGAAGTATGAACGCACACGAGTTTTCGCCCTTTGGTGGGCGATTCTTCTTGGGTTACCACGAGAATCGCCGTAGTGGCCGTTCGGTAGGATTCCACTGCTCGGATGACTTCGGTTACCTAGTATTTTATAAGCCGTTATCAAGTCACCTCGTAATATAAGGAAGCTTTGAGAGTAGTGTCCTAGATCTTTCAGCCTTTCCGCTAAGGGTTTTTGCCTCATTCCCACGGCACCCTTTGTTGCTCGCCTTTGGAATCTCCTCAGGAGGTTCACACCTCTTTTCAGGCGTGATGGTGCAGTGACGTTGTGGACCTCTAAGTGAGGTTGTATTTAAGTCTCGTTCAGCTTGAAAAAGAGTTCTGGAATCAGGGCACCTGGTTGTCTGCGCATGAAGTG